TTTGTCCTGTTTCTTTGTCTCTGCATTTTTTATGCTTTCTTGGTGCACCCTCTAGTGGTCTTTGTGCACAGTCTTCCTGTAGTTAAGCCTTGTTGTAGTTAATACTAGGGGGATTTGACCTCCAGGCCAATTGGCTGTGCATTTCATCAATCTTGACTACTGAATTCTTTAGTGCCCCCTTAAGTTTTGCACCTGAGATGAGTACCTCACTCACTGCCCCCGAGTCCTGGCCCTGGTGGTGACAGAGGGCTGGTGGGAGATGAGGATGGTGATGGGGAGGGTGGCCCCTATAGTGTCTGAAAGATACTGCATGAAGTTTCCCATTGCAGCTGTCTCCTCTTTGCCTGAAGATATGCCTTGAGGTTGGACTAAATGGCATTTTCTAGACCAGTGATCCTCAATGGAGACAACTTTGCTCTCCAAAGGAGCTTTGGAAATATGTGGAGATGTTTTTGTTAATCTTGGGTGACAATCAGATTAATGGGGAGAGATACTCCTGACATCTAGTGAGTAGAAATCAGGGATGCTGCTAAACTCTCTAGAGCCCCTTCCCTCAACACACAACAAAGAATTACTTTACTCCAAATAGTAATAGTGCAAAGGTTGAGAACCTTGTTCTAGATCTATAGCATAGAAGAAAGAGCATAAGTTTTTCACACATTAAAGATGAAAAAAGAGGTAGAGGGACAACTTGAGTGAGAACAAGAAACAGAGGGAATGAGGGGAGAAGGGATGGAGGGAGAGAGAAAGAGAAAGTGATAGACAGGTGATAGATAGATAGATAGATGATAGATAGATAGATAGATAGATGATAGATAGAAGGTGTGGGAGCCAAACACCTTTGAAGTTAGGGTCATCATACATTCTCATGAGAATGAGTAGAAGGTGAGGATTTTGGAATGGGATGCATATGAAGTCCCTCGTCTACACAAGCAATCATGAGGTGGGAACCTTCTTCCTTCTCCCGTCATTGTCCACCAACATCCCAGGATCCTCTACTTCATTGGCTGGGATAGTGACCAGAGGGAGGCTGCTCCTGGGGTTATGACTGGGGCACTTTAGGGTGCTAACAGTAAGTATATGTGGACAGTAGACATCTGGGGTCTCCTCCAGTACACCTGGACACCCATGTTTGTCAGTGGACTCCAGGAGGCAGGTCCCTGTAGTCCCAGGAGGGAGCAGGTGAGAGAATTGAGCAAATGCCTTATTATCAACTCCCCTGCCCAGCACCCCAGCCTGGGGCAATCATCCTGCATTTCCCACTTCCCCAAAAGCCCAATATAAGGACTGCTTCTGGACCCAGCAGTCAGAGAC